GCTAGTCTTCAACGTTTGGAAGGCCTGGGAACCCTGAACCCTGAACCCTAAACCCTAAATCCCAAAGCGCTCCAACAGCTAGTGGGGGGGGGTCAGCACTGCACATACCCTAAGCCCAACCACGAGTCTGCCATAGTAATTCCGAAGAATTAAAACATGACGAACCGAATGCGCCACCTCTGCGCGTCGGCGGTCCAAGCGGGGCACGCCGGTCCAGGTGGGATTGCGCGGGCCGACCCGTAACCCGACACCTTGAACTGCAGCGTAAACAGCTTGGGGCTTTTGGGACAGGCTGGAGGGCCTAGAGAAAACTTTAGGGTTTGATAGGGCTCAGGGATGGGGGAACGGGTGGAATGGGGGAAGGAGACCAGATCTTGGAACGCATGGCCTTTCCAAGCTTGCGCGGCCCTCCCTAAAAGCCAGTTTGATCATGACAGGGACCTGAGTGCTGTGCTGCCACAGCCCGAATCCCCAGACCCCAAAGCCCAAGGCCAAGCCTGGAAGACCGCAAAACCAACTTTGGGGCGCACGACAGCCCGCCCCACCCAATCTAGGACCAAATGGCCCTTCTTGATCTTACCTAGCTTGGGCCGCGTGCCGAGTACGGGGTAGGGGGGTAGTCCAGTCCTCAGCTACCCCCTGCCCCCAAGCTAGCCTAAGCCTAAACCCGAGCTGGTTGGGTCCCACAACCCAGCGTGCCTGCGCGCAGGGGGCTCATTTCTACGCGCCGGGCCTGGGTCTCGGCCTACGCAAGGAAGCGATGAGCCATGGGGGGTTCGAGGGTCCGACCGGTTGGTGCATCCTGGGGTGGTTCCCTCGCCTCGGCCAAGCCCAAAATTTTTGAGTCCCCCAGCCCGAAGCACGGAAATTGCTAGATTTCAGCAGCTAAAAACTTCCCCACCGGCCTTTCCCACAGGTATTCGTTTTCAGCCATCTAAGATGCATGGGATGCAGAGGATGCAGGGGTGCTAGGGTTTTAGGGGTGTTTGGGGGTGTTTGCGTGTTCCCTTTCCTGCCTTTTGGGGTCTTGAGCCTTTCCAGCCCTCACAGATCCGACGCTCCCTCAGTTTCCCGAGCTTACCTATAACCCTAAACCCTAAACCCTAAACCCTAAACCCTAAACCCTCAAGCCCTGAAACCCTAAAAGGCCTTGTGCCGCTCCAGGCTGTGCCTACCACACACTGGCCGGGCGCGATGCGACGCGCTTGCTGGCAAAGAACAGCTTGGAGGCGGCTCGCTGGGCCCGGGCTTGCTTGGGGTCCGAGGCCTTCAGTGCGTCTATGATAGGCTTGGGAATGTTTAGGGTTCAGAGGGTTGTTTAGAGAGATGCTTTGGGTTTAAGGATGCTCAGGGGAATTCTGAAGCAACAAACGCACGAGGTGCCAGCGAGCCCCGAAAGCGTTTGGGTTCCCGGGTTTTCCTTGAAGCCCACGAGCCCTGTAATCCTTGCACTCCTTCGGCACGCTTTGACTCTCTGCACCCGCATAAGAACCCCACAAGGGCCTTCTTGTGGTACCCCCTTTTTGAGGGCCAGGTGAAGCAAACCCTAAACCCTAAACCCTAAACGCTAAACCCCAAACCCTAAACCCCAAACCCCAAACCCTAAACCCTAAACCCTAAACCTTAAACCCTCAACCCTCAACCCTCAACGCTCAACTCTCAACCCTAAACCCTAGCCCTAAACCCTAAGCCCTAAATCCTGATCCTTAAAGGGCCCTTTCTGGGGGAGCCTAGCCAACCCGGAAGCACTTAAGCTCCCAGACGCCCTGAGCCGCTCAGCCATCAACAGGGTTCAGGGTTTAGGGTAGTTTAGGGTTTAGGGTTGAATCCCTAGCCCCGTAGACCTGAGACCTGGATGAATGGCACGCTCTCGGAGCCCATGCGCGTAGGGAGAGGCTTTAGGCTGCTAGGGCTCATTAGGATGGTTCAGGTTTGTATTTTGAATTGGAGGTTCAGGGGTGCGGAAGCCTTTCACGGTTCGGGGCGACCATGGGGGCCGTCTTCTCATCGGAGGCGCTCGCAGCAGAAGAGCCCCAACCTGTTTGCTACGACGGTGGGGGCGTGGTCGAACCCTGCTGGGCAGACATTCGGGGGATGGGGCGCCAGGCGCTCGAAGCATACTTGAGGCCAACGGTGGAGATCCTACGCGACGAAACAGATCTCGCAAAGTGGGCGAACAACGACACTTGCGGAGCCCAGGGTCGCTGCGGTCGCCTGCCCGTCTATGTCGGGAGCCGTGGCGATTTTCAGGTCCATCTGCCGCTGGTAGGCAAGGAGTTCCGGAACATCTTGCAGTCCCAGAATTGGGGGGCACTCGGGGCAAACCCGTCGATGGTTGACATCGCGGTCCTTGCAGAGGTCCGAAAGCTGAGGGGAAAGCGCCTGGGGTACCTGGCCTCCGAGGCAGATTCAGCCGTCGAATCGCGTGCTGCCGCGCTCATCGAGGTGTTCAACAAGCGGATTCTTTCACCTTCCCTGCTGGTGGATGGAGACACCTTCGACGCGAAGCTTAGGCGAATGCTGATGTTGGTTGCAATGGAGCGTTGTCATCATCCCTCTTTCCATTCCCCGCAGCTCATGCCCTTGACGTCGAGGTCCGACCTTGAGGCGCTCAGCCGTGACGAGCTGACTGAGCACTTGCTGCCACAAGTTGCTAACATCCTGGGTACTGAGCCAGCGCACCTGAAGGTGGTCCCAGAGGAGTTGAAGAAGAAGTGTTCAAACCTGGGAGGCCAGTATGCAAGCAAGGCGGCATGGATCGCCAATGTCACCGACCCCCCTTCAGAGCATGACAACGGGGATGCAGAGAATCGTCTCCATGTTTATGTCGGCCGACATGCTGGGCCGAAGGTGCCGGACAACGGGTATGGCAACCCCTTCGTCATTGGGCAGGACCCTGACAAGTACCAGGCCTTTTACACTGACACCAGCACCAAGGGAGGTGGAAGTTGGCCTCGAGCTTCTGATTGCCTTTCGCTCTACCAAAAGCACAGGCCTCTGATTCAAGGCATGCATGACGTCTTCAAAGCTTCTTGTGAGCTGGATGACAAAGGCACCTGGACGCGAGACAATGTTGTCGAGCTCTTCTGGGAGGTCATGGAGGTCGAACAAGCAGAGAGCATGGCCCACTATGTCGACCGTCTCATCGGGAAGCGCATCGCATGTTACTGTCAACCAGAGGCTTGTCATGGGCACGTGCTGCGCAATGTTTTCTGCAAGAGCGTCTTGCAGGACATGGGTGAGGCTGCACTGAAGGAGAGGCTGCAGCGTGTGCTGCACGAACGCAGAGCTCACAAGCTTCAACAGCAGGAGGCTTCGCAGTCGTTGGCCGAAAGCCCCGCCAGAAGAGGCAGCAGAAAACTCGCAAACCATGTCGCAGTGCGCTAGGATGATTTGGTGTTCTTGCCGCCACGGTTCGCGTCCCTGAAGCGAACTTCCCCACAAGTTCACCCTACATTTTTGGGGTTGAGGGTGGAGGGTCTGGGGCAGGAAACCCCTAAACCCCTAAACCCCTAAACCCCTAAACCCCTAAACCCCTAAACCCCTAAACCCCTATACCCCTAAACCCCTAAACCCCCAAACCCCCAAACCCTAAACCCCTAAACCCCTAAACCCCTAAACCCCTAAACCCCTAAACCCCTAAACCCCTAAACCCCTAAACCCCTAAACCCCTAAACACCTAAACCCCTAAACCCCTAAACCCCTAAACCCCTAAACCCCTAAACCCCTAAACCCCTAAACCCCTAAACCCCTAAACCCCTAAACCCCTAAACCCCTAAACCCCTAAACCCCTAACCCCTACACCCTACTCAGCCCTCAACCCCAAAAGCCTTGTGGGCCAGGAGGAGACAGAAGAGGAGGCAAAAGAGCCCCTGTCCCTGGCGCAGGAGGGGTGGGCGCTTTGGGGTTTAGGGTGTAGGGTTAAGGGTTCGGGATCAGTAATTAGGTGGAACTCAAAACCCAACCCTGCACATAAACTAACTACTGGGAATGTATTGAGTGAACTTTGTGTTTTTCTCAATGTTATGGGTTTCTTGGGTGGGTGGGCAACGCTTGACAAGCTGCTTGACTAGTGAATGCTTGGACCAGAGATGCTGAACCCTAAGCCCTAAACCCTAAACCCTAAACCCTAAACCCTAAACCCTAAACCCTAAACCCTAAACCCTAAACCCTAAACCCTAAACCCTAAACCCTAAACCCTAAACCCTAAACCCTAAACCCTAAACCCTAAACCCTAAACCCACCAAACGCCACCTACAAGAACAGCCCCTCAGTGCTCAGCCCGCGGCCTGGAGGAGGCGGCCCTCCAGGGTTGGCTCCTGACCTTGAAGTCGAAGTACGCCTCTTGAGAAGCAGAGATTTGGGGTTTAGGGTTTAGGGTTTAGGGTTTAGGGTTTAGGGTTTCATGTTGACTTCGCATTAATACATCCCCCCCCCCCCCCCCCCCGGTTGATCAATCTTTTCGGCCAGGGGCCTCCTCGATTGCATTCGCCTAAATCCTGGTAGGATTTTCTATTAGTTTCAGGGTTCTATAAGTTTAAGCAACCTGGAGCATCTCCCTGCAGCCAGCAAGCTCTAAACTCCCCCCCTTAAGCTTATAAGTTTAAGCAACCTGGAACATCTCCCTTAAAAAAAGGGGGTGATTTTATAATTGTGGGGGGCGAGATCATTGTGTTCCGGCCCCGGGATTTGATAATTGTAGCGGGAACCGGTAACGTGAAGTCAACATTCGGCTTGAGGGTTGAGGGTTGAGGGCTTATTTTGGGATTTTATACGAAAATGAGGGACCCCCAAGAATAGATCCAAGTAGTAGGATTCCTGTGTAGGAAGAGCCCCCCTAAGTTCGGAACCCCCCCCCCCCCCCTTCCCATATTTGGGGTTCAGAAGGACGGCGAGTTTGATGGTTGCTCTGCAAGGGATGGATCGTGCTTGCTCCATGCCGTCAGACGTTTCGTGTTCGATCCTGACGGTCAGCTGGGTTGCCTTTGGCAGCGCGCACCATGGTGCGCTTCGGCGCTCGCGTTGCGTTATCTGCGAGCTTCCTCGTCGCGGCGGGATTTGTGGGCTTCGTGCCTGTGTCCCCTCCGCGCTGCCACAAGTCCTTGATGCCAGCATCCGTGGCTGAGGCGACTGCGCCTGAGGCGCGACGTGATGTCCCCACAGGCGTCCCGGTCGTGATGGCCGTGTTGGCCGGACTCGTCGTGGCTTTCGCAATGCCCCCGAAGGCGCTGGCTCAGCCGGGTGGGCTTCCGGACTTCTCCGTTGTGAGGCCGGGGTACATGCAGGGGATTGACGCTGCAAATGCCGCAACGAAGCCGGGAGAGATAGATTCTGGGCTGATCCGTGAGTCTTTTTGTCTCGTCTTGTATAGTCTTGTATTTGACAAATGCGCCGTCCTGTTCTTTCAAGGTTTAGGGTTTAGGGCCCAAGCGCAGCCCAGGACTTCGTCACCCGTTCACGCATTGAGGCCGCCCAGTTCCCACAGGCAGTCAAAGAGCTTCAGAAGGAGAAAGCTACCATCGAGAAGAATGCCCCCACCAAGGAGGAGCGTCTGCAAAGGTACCGGCAGCAGGCGCAAGCTTACAGTCAGAGTGCGTCAATTGAGTAGTCTCGGGGCCTGCCCGTAGGTGTAACTCTTGTTTCGTGCCGGCCGAAGATGACGACCGGTCCAGTTCCCGACAGTTTCAATAAATTTCACTTGAGCAGAAAAGAGTTGCCGACCCTATACCCTAAACCCTAAACCCTAACCCTAAACCCTAAACCCTAAACCCTAAACCCTAAACCCTAAACCCTAAACCCTAAACCCTAAACCCTAAACCCCAAACCCTAAACCCTACACCCTAAACCCTGAAATGTCGGTTGCTCTTTCTTAGCCATGGCGGGAGTGCGTGTCCCAAGAAGGATTCTAACGTCATCTCCCGTAGGTTCAGGGCTAGCTGCCTTCCCAATGTGGGATCGGGGGTCATATAGGGGTCGGAATAGTTGCTATAGCAGTCTTCTCTTATGGTCCCTTTGTAGTGATTCTATAAGAACCCCCCAAAACCCTATTCTAATTATTCAGGCCCCTATATTAGGTTGAACCAGTCAGCCCCAAACCCAGTCCTCAATCCCCGCAAACTGCAACTATGTCGGACGAGGATCCCAACCCCAGTATTGGAGGCCAAACCCTGATCCCTCGACTCCCCGGATTCCGCAGCCCCAATCCGTCACCTCGTTTTGGCCATGCTGAAAAGGAATCATCGACTTTCATGAACTCTTCATGCCAAGCTGCTGATGCTGACGCAGCGAGCCAAGGAAATCGTGGGCACCTACAAGCAGAGCTGATCGCGACCGTGGTGAAGAGGGTTCGCTAAAGTTCAGGCTTTCGGTTGGCGTATGCAGGATTTACACTCAGGGTTTAGGGTTTAGGGCTATCCGACAAAAAAGCAAGCGTTCTCTCATCCTGTATATTCGCTTGGGTTATTGCATGAATCCTGTGGGCCTATCGCAGACGGGTTTGGTCTTTGTTGCGGTTTGGGGCCTCCGGCGTCCTTTGGAACACGCTGATCGTGCAACCCCGCATCGCCAAAGAAGCCGCAGCATGGACTCTGAGAGTTTGAAGAGCTGAGCCAGCCAGGCTTATTCAGAGCGTGCTTGCTGTAGTTGGCATTGCAGTGTTTTTGTTACCGCAAGTGCTCAGAGGTTGCTACTGTAGGCTGGGACCACCGAAAACAGCAGTTGGAGTATGAGAGCTTCTGCTCTTGCTTTGGGTGTGGAAACATGCGCATGTGTGCCTGTCAGCATTTGGAAAGTCGGTTGCTCATCTTTCCCTTGTCCAACTTGCGCACGCTCTCCTGAGAAGAGCATGATTACCAGCAGACTGTCTCCACCCTTCGCGGCTCCACGGCGGTGAAGTCCGAGTCTGGCTTCGGCACGTGCTCTGCGCTTGCCGTGTATAGCGTTGTTGATGCTGAGGGTCCACTACAATCGCAGTGAGTGCAGGGTGGGATGCGCAGTTGCTACACTTGCCGGCCAGCAGGATTTTGTCACTTCCGGATTTCGGGTGTTCCGGGATGCCGGGTTCCAAGAGTGAGCCCTTGATTTCAGCTGGGCAATTCACGGCTCGCAGCTCAGGGGTTTGAAGAGCGGGTGTGGGTCATCTACAAGAGCCAGTTTTATAGTCGCTACAGTAACATGGTTGCAAAATAAGCCACGCAAATACCCATACTGCACGGGCTGCTCTGTGGCCAGGCTCCATGCATGATCAGCCCTAAAGGGTTTGTAGCCCTCACCCCCTCACCCTTGAACCCCCAAACTCCCCAAACCCAAGTCCCTGAACACAAGTCGGGAAAGTCAGGGGTGCGGGGGTGATGGTGCAGACCTTTAGACGTCCCTTTTTTCTAGGGCAGCTGCCTCAACACACCCCAAAGCCTGACAGCCCAGGCGTGAAGCAAGAGCCGTCAAAGCCCTGAGCTATGTATAGATTTAGGGTTCAGGGGTTTGCCTTAGGGTTCAGGGGTCTGCCGTAGCTCCATGGGAGCGCTGGCGCTGGCCGTGCCTCGCGTGGCAAGCAGATGAGCGGAGCTGCTGGCGGCTTGGCAAAACCATCAGGAGCTTGGGGACTTTTTGGGGGTTTAGGGTTTAGGGTCTTAGGGTTTTGGGAGCATGTCGGATTTGTTTCAGAAGTGCGTCTCAAACGGTTTAAGCTAATCTTCTTCAACGCTGAACACCCCATACCCCCTAAACCCGAATCCTGAACCCTAAGCCCTAAAGGCATCGGGCTCTCTGGTTCCCGGTGGAGAGTAGATTCTGTGATGGTTAGGGGATTTAGTCGCTTCGTGGAGTTGGGTTGAGGTTTAGGGTTAGGTACGCCCAGGGATTTCGATTCTTCGCTTCTTTCAGGGGTGTTCTGAACTGGGTAGGACTTTGGGGTAGCACATGTATACATATACAAACAAATAAATTCATAAATAAATCATAGATAAATACATAAATAGAAATAGATATATATATATATATATATGTACTTCCATATTCAGTCCCTTCTGTCTTGGGTTCAAGCGGATCTCACTCAGGGTTGTTTAGGGCTTAGGACTCGATTTTCCGAGCTCGGGGCCCTGAGCCCCTCTTCGTTCCCCAAAGGCACCGGCAGCAGCGCCGCGGCCCCCCGACAGGCGAGGGGGTGTAGGGCTTAGGGTTTAGGGTTTGGGGCTTGCTGTGTGGACATTCTAGCTGAGCTAGCCGACGTTCTCGGCATTTTTTCTTGGCACTTTTTCCGATTGTTCAAAGTGGGAAGGCTGGGCACGGCTGGTTCAAGCGGTTCTAAGGGCAGCTGAGCTGGGGCGCGCGAAACTTGAATTTCCTGCCTCCGTTGGGGTCTTGGGCTTCTGTCCCTCAGTTTTGGATTCGGGACTTTTAGGGTTTTGCTGGACTCTCCTTCTTTTTGATTCTTCCGGTGTTGGAGGGTCCCCAGGGTTCACGGGGCTCCCTTTTGCGCGGGGGGGTTAGGACTCGGGGTGAGGCCCCTGTGGATCTTCAGTTGCGGCCCCTTTGATTCCCTTTGTGGGGTTCCTTCTGGCAGTGTGGCCCCTCGACAGATACTAGGATATGGCACCAAGGAAGGGACGGCGAGAGTGAGTGAACTGGCCGTGCAGGTTGCGGCAAATCTTAGGCTGGCGCAGATCAGAAGCAGTTCCTGCGCGCCTCAAAGTCCTGTGAAGCTTCTTCAAGCCCTAAGCCCTAAGCCCTAAGCCCTAAGCCCTAAGCCCTGAGCCCTGAGCCCTAAGCCCTAAACCCTAAACCCTGAGCCCTAAACCCTGAAAGCCCCAAACGCGGCAAGGCCCTGGAAGATGCCGAGGCACCGGATTGTTTGGCGTGGGAGCTTCGGGGCTTTCGGGGTTCAGCGTCGAAGGGGGATGTCTTCTACTTTTCCCTGGGCTTAGGGCTTAAGAGGAGCGCTGATTTAGCAAGATGATAAACCCTAAGCCCTAAACCCCAGGCCCTAAACCCTAAACCCTGAACCCTAAACCCTAAACCCTAAACCCTAAACCCTAAACCCTAAACCCCAAAGGGGGGGGGGGAACCCTAAACCCTAAACTCTAAGCCCTGCAAGGATGGAAGCTCCTACGAGACGACCTCTGAGGAGGGAGAGCCGCCTCTGCCCGCACCGGCATCGGGCGCCTTCGAACGCCTCCAGAGTTTTAGTTAGGCTTTAGGGTCTAGGGTTTAGGGTTTAGGGTTTAGGGTTAGGGTTTAAGGCTTAGGGTTTCGGGTCTAGGTTTAGGGTTTAGGGTTTAGGGTTTAGGGTTTAGGGTTTAGGGTTTAGGGTTTAGGGTTTAGGGCTTGGATGTGGCGTTCTGGGGTGTCCGGCCTTAGGGCTTTTGTCTTGGTTGCGGAGAACGCAGGCACCCCGAAGCCTCAAGGCAGGGAGCTCCACATCTTGGGCTTTGAAGTTCACCCTAGACCCTAAACCCTAAACCCTAAACCCTAAGCCCTAAGCCCTAAGCCCTAAGCCCTAAGCCCTAAGCCCTAAGCCCTAAACCCTAAACCCTTCAGAGGGAACCGCGCAAACCCCCAGAACCTCCCAGAATGTCAGGATCCTTCATCACCAGGTTATTCAAATGCGATGCCCCCAAAGGGATAGCTACCATGTCTCCTTAGCCCTGGTCACACGCATATGGGGGTTTACGAAATAGGGGACCCAAAAAGGACCCCAAGAAGGTACCCCCTCATTTCGGAAAACCCCCAGATCTTGGACAGTTCCAGGCGCTGGCACCGAACCGCGCTACCGCGATGCGAAGGTTGGCTCAGACGAGCCCTTCCGGGAACCGAGGTGCTCGGGCTGAGATAGAGAGCCCAGTACTAGGGAGCCCTTAAGTAAGGAATGTGGAGTATGCCTTGGCAAGTTCTCTGTGCGATTGTCCTCGTAGGACCCCTGTGTGGAATACGGCCCTTAAGTGTACCCACATTCAGACACAGGGCTTCTCGCCATGACGTATGGTGTATTTGGACATGAAGGGTCGTGGGCCGTGTCAGAAGAATGCAGTTGGAGGCTGAGCCAGATTGTGGGGGGTCTTTGTGGGTCGCAAGTTTGGAAATGTTGGGCCCTTCTGATTCTAAGCCCTGAACATTAGAGCAACCCCTAACATGCCCCCTTGTGGCTGCGTTGAGGGGGGAGGGGTCAAGGCCAGGGCCTAGGAGCCGTCCACCGACCAGAGGCCCGAAACCTTAAACACAACCTAAGCTTGGGATGCTCCCCCTTAAGCAGTCCTTAAGAGGGATTTTAGAGTACCCCCCTAAGCTTGGGATGTTCCCCCTTATACTAGCAGTCCTTAATAGGGATTGGGATTTAGAGTACCCCTAATTTTAACGCTACGCGACCCGCCTCGGCCCGGCCCAGCGCATCCGCGTGAGCATGGTGATTCCGCAGCGCCCAAGTCGCTGGACCCCAAGCAATAAGGGTTGGGTTGAGGGTTGAGGGTTGAGGGTTGAGGGTTCCGGGTTTATGGTTTATGGTTTGGGGTTTGGGGTTGAGGGTTAGTTTAGGGCTCAAGGTTCACGCTTTGGGGTCTGCTGCCTTTGGTCCTGGCGAACCGTCTGCTTGCGGACCCAGCACAACAAAAAAAGGGGGGGGGGGGGTAGGGGGGGGTGGGGGGGCAGGGCGGGGGGGGGGGTGGGGGGGTAGCAGGCGGGGGGGGGGGGGGGGGTAGGGGGGGGGCAGGCAGGGGGGGGGTAGGGGGTAGGGCGGGTAGGGGGGGTAGGGGGGAGTTTGGGAAAAACGGGGGGCGCCCTGCTGGGATGGGCTGCAACTGCCTCTGGTCCTGGCGAGACATCCGCTTGCGGACCCTCCTCTCCTAGGGGGGGTACCCATTTGAAGCAAAAAAAGGGGTCGAAAAGTGGCTGGGCTTGGTCCGAGGCCTCGGCGGATATTAGAATCCCTATAAAGGACTGTTAGTATTAAGGGGGAACATCCCAAAAGCCGAGACCTTGTTGAGGGGACATCCGCCGGCCATGCTTGACGTGGCCTGCCAGACGGTGATGTCTTTCTTCGAGACCCGTGCCCTGAAGAGCATCTGGGGGCTCCGGGTTCAGGGTTTAGGGTTCAGGGTTTAGGATTCAGGGTTTAGGGTTCAGGGTTTAGGGGCTTTTTGTGCTGAGGGCTTAGCAGTGGGCTGTTGGGCAGACGTGCGGCTTGAACAGGCCACTTCGAGTCCATCATGTCTTGAGCTGATGTGGGATCCAGTCCTCGTACCCAACCGTCTCGGCACCGAGGCACGGCTGCTGTCGGAGACGACGTGCCTCTACCTCCGGAGGTTCTAGGCCATGGATGGTGACGGGTATCGGAGGGTATCGGTACCCGGAGCGCGATGTACCTCTGCACGCGAGCAGCAGCTTCCCTTCTCGAGCCCAACGCAGCTCAGCTCCCCTGCTCCTGAGCTTTCCCGCCCACACCTTCCCCAACCGGCAGAATGCGCCTCCTCTGTTGCGGAATTATCGGCGGACTGCGCAGCCCGAGCGCGCTAAGCCGCTAAGCGCTTCAACGCAAAAGTGCTGCGCGGTCGTAGCCTGTGGCTTTGATAGTAGCGGCGCTTGTCTAAAAATGAACTTGGAGCCGAGAAAGCACAGCAGCTCGACAAACTACACCCCTAAGCCCCGCAATGCCCCGAAACCCCAAAAAGCCCTAAACTCTAACCCCTCGAACCCCGCACCCTGCAAAAGGCTTCCAAAGAAACCACACACCTCCCTCCTCTCACAGCACTGATGAAAACCCTCGACCGGAGCACCCCGGACAGGCTCCATTCGCCAGGCTGCCGTTGCCAGGGAAGGCCTGGTTTGGAGTTTAGGCTTCGGGGTCTAGGTCCTGGGGCTCAGGTTTAGCGGGGTTTGGGGCTTTGGGTTTTGGGCCGAGAGGCCGAGAGGGGTCGTTTGGTTTTGGGTTTGGCTTGCAATCCTTCCTCGAAGTTTTGGGTTTGGTTGCTTTGCGGGTTTCGGGTCTTGGGTTAGGGGGCTTTGTAGGGGACACCCAAAATTCAAAATCCAAACCGAAAACCCAACACCCAAAACTCTAAGGTTTAGGGTTTAGGGTTTAGGGTTCAGGGTTTGCCAGGAGCTGCACCTCCGGAAGCAGCTCGTCTCGCGGCGCGGCCTGCGCCGACTGCGGGTGACATGGATGGAGTAGCAGCTGCAGTTTAGGGTTTAGGGCTTGAGGGTTTAGGGTTCAGGGTTCAGGGCTTTTAGGGTTTTAGGGTTCAGGGTTCAGGGTTTAGGGCTAGACGTGCTGTTTTCTACACATGCCTGACTGCAGCAATGGCCTGGGTTGGCTTGTTACCGTCAGCTCGCCTCCTTGCCTCCTTGCCCTACGCTCGATGCGAGCTCCCTGCAAACTCGAAGGGCCCCGTCTGAACGCCTGGGCTCCCTAGCCGTGTATCTGTCGATCTCAACCCCTTAAGCTGTGCTTTGACATGTTGGGAGGACACCACCCCCTGGTTTTGGCTACAGAGACATGGGAGCTTTTTGTTTCTGCATAGCTTGCGGCTGCAGCTGATTTGGTGGGAATAGGCCACATGCATCGGCTGTGGGCCAACGATTCACCGGCCTGCCCATGTCCTCTGCTCGCGTAAGACGAGGCGCCGCCCATGGTGCAGACGTGCCAGGCATTGACCGACGACGTCCCGTATTGCTTTACAGCTGCAGCGTTTAGTGACGCTGCATAGGGGCCTCGAAGTTTAGGTACTCTGTAAGGGTTTCGGGATTTGTGCGGGCTTAGGGCCTTCTCCTAAGTTGTTTATGAATCTGTCAGTGTGCATACATTTGAGTACTCATAAGATTCAGCATGGGATGGACGTGTTTGGGTTTTTTGCCGGGTCTTGAACAGGGTAAGGGCAGTAGTGCACTTACTTGAGGCAGAACCCCTCCCGAACCCTGCGCTCTACGCTCTGGGCCTTCAAGAAGTAGGCCTTAAAAATGCCTTCGAACTGTCAACCAAGAAGCGGAAGCAGCACCCCAAGCCTTGAAACCACATGATGATGCTTTACAGGGGGCCCTGCACCGAAAGAAGCCCCAGGAAGAGGGAGGGGGTGAATGTAGGGGTCGGAATCATTACTAACGGTATTCCCATAGGGTCCCCTTATACTTCTACTACAAGAGCCCTCCGAAACCCTATTCTAGCTATTAAGGCCTAACCCTAAACCCTAAACCCTAAACCCTAAACCCTAAACCCCAAACCCTAAACCCTAAACCCTAAACCCTAAACCCTAAACCCTAAACCCTAAACCCTAAACCCTAGTACCCAATGCCAGCCTGGCCTCTCGATGCTTTTCGGAGGGGCGGCCTGCGGCCTGCCCAACGGGGCTGCAGAGTCCCCGAGGCGCCGATGGATCCACGTTGGGACCATGACCAACGTTGATTTCACAGGGTTTTTTTGGGGTTTAGGGTTTAGGGTTTAGGGTTTAGGGTTTAGGGTTTAGGGTTTAGGGTTGGTTTAGGGTTTAGGGTTTAGGGTTTAGGGTTTAGCGTTTACGGTTTTGTGGTTAGATTCTAAGATGTGCCAGATTGGGGGAGGGTGGTGCGCGCCACCCTGTTGGGGGTGTGTGTGTTGAGCATTTAACGCTTCACGGACAAACCTCACAGCCGCAAGCAGAAGGGTAAGGCACCGCCAGAGACCATGCCACAAGGTAGCGCAGATACCCAGTTGCCGTGTTGGACCTTTGGTTGGGGGCAAGCATGCCACGACCCAGAAGCTTGCAGATCTTTGTCAGAGCGTCTCAGGCTTTCAGAGCTCCAGTCAAAGTTCCAGAGCATTTCCTTCTACGAAAGCAATGTGTCGTCAGGAATTCGGTTTGATCCAAGGTGTTTCATATCGGTGCAGTGCCAGCTTGTTCAACCATTTACACCACAAACTCCACATCGGTAGTTTCCAAAATTGGGTCCCGTTTTGGGTACCCATTGTACGGCGGCACCCTTTCAAAGCGGATCCCAAGAAGGGACCCTAGCGTAGAGAACTATCCACGTAGGGCGTAGGGCTTGAGGGTTCAGAGCTTCCCCCTTCTACTAACAGTCCTTCATAGGTATCCACTGTTATAATCCCTTCAAAGGACTGTTAGTATAAGGGGGAACACCCCAACTTTAGGGTTCAGAGCTTCCCGGCCCTCTGCAGGGCAGATGCAGCTCCGCACGTCGAACACAAGAAGCGGAGGCCCGTGGGCGCTGATTCAGGGATCACCGCAGGTCTTGCCCTAAGCTTGAAACCCTAAACCCTAAGAGTGACCAAAGCCTAAACCCTAAACCCTAAACCCCTAAACCCCAAACCCCTAAACCCTAAACCCTAAACCCTAAACCCTAAACCCTAAACCCTAAACCCTAAACCCTAAACCCTAAACGTGTTCAAGCTTTAGGGTTCCTCGATGTGGCTACGCCCTTGGCCCCCCAAGCCAAACTATGGCCAACCAGCCGAACACTCTGCACGGAAATTTCTGGCTCCTGACCCGATACAGGTGCACCAAGGTTTCTGTGTTTTTGGGGTAGCGTTTGCGTGTTTACTTGTTGAGGTAAGGGCTCGATTCTACACCCTAAGCTTGAAATGTGAGTAACTAGGACCCACATTAGGCCCCTATTCTCTTTGTTTAGGGTTATACTACCCCTTTAGACCAAAACGGGGCACCCGTTTTATTCCTGAGTTACTCCTGGGTAACACCTTAAACCCTAAAGCCTAAACCCTAGACCCTGGACCCTAAACCCTAAACCCCAAAGCCCTAAACCCTAGACCCCAAACCCTAAACCCTAAACCCTAAACCCTAGACCCTCTTATTCCAAGCTTACTCTTAGGTCTAGGCAAAACCCTGACGCAGAAAGCGTGGCAACCTGTGAGCCGCCTTTTTTTGGCAGCGAGGAAGAAAGTCCGCGAGCCAGCGCACGCGGAGGCGCGGAGATTCCTCACCCTTAGGGTTTAGGGTTTGGGGGTTTGGGGTTTAGGGTTTAGGGTTTGGGGTTTGGGGTTTGGGGTTTAGGGTTTAGGGTTTAGGGTTCAACAACAACAACAATGCTCAACCAGAAAGCATAAGCATCAAGCTACAAAGGCAGGAAGAATCACCGCCCACGCCAAACCCCCGGAACCAACAGGTCAATGTCTAAACGCTGGCTTGGGAGCGCAGGGTAGAACAACTGGTCACCCTGCGGGGTTGAAGGGCTCTGACGGGGGGGCGGGTAGCAAGGATATGGGTATTTCCCAAAACAGAGGTACCCTTTTTCTACCCAAATAGAATTGAATCCCTTAAAGGGACGCCCCAAACAGGGTGCCCCTATTTTCGGAAACCCCCATATGGAAGTTTGAGGCCAAATTGTACCTGGCAGTTGCTGGCATGTCGCTTCCAGATATCTCTAGCGCATGCAGAGCTTCTAGGAGGTCCCGCCCATCTTCTGTTGCCCTACCAGCTGCCCCGTGTGGATGCTTGCCGCTTCGGCCATTCGAAGGGGCCTGTCTCATTCATGGATTCATCACGATGAGTACAGCACTGAAGTCCCGAAACCCGAAACTCTAAACCCTAACCCGAAACCGGGTGAGCAAACCCCCCAAGCCCTCAAAAATCATGGCCAACCCCTACATTGGACAGCAAGTATCATCATTCTTACTTTTCGTTGGTTCTTAACGAATCGGGGGGACCAGCGGTTCGAAGAACGTTGACTATCTCCAAGCTTCAGGAACCCTAAGCCCTAAGCCCTAAGCCCTAAGCCCTAAACCCCAAACCCCAAACCCTGAACCCTGAACCCTGAACCCTGAACCCTGAACCCTAAACCCTAAACCCTAACCCTGAACCCCGAACCCTACACCCTGAACCCTGAACCCTGAACCCTGAACCCTGAACCCTGAACCCTAAACCCGAACGCAGCACGGAGGTTGCCACGGCGGAGCCCTCTGGCCCAGGCTCGCCCTGGTTGGGCTTCTTAGGGCTTCTTAGGGTGAAGAGGGTTTTGAGGGTTTAGGGGTTAGGGTGTAGGGTTTTGAGGGTTTAGGCTCGGGTCTGTTGTTCTTGGGGCGGGGGAGTGCCACGCTACACCCTAACTCTAAACCCAACTGTTGAGTGTAAGGTTTCCCTAAACCCTAAACCCTAAACCCTAAACCCTAAACCCTGGGTATAGGGCTTCGGGGGTCCATGGATCTTTGCCTTGGCAGCAAATTTGAAAGCAATCTCCTCTATAAGGGCCTTAGAACGGATGCATCACAACACTGGCAGCCCCACAATATCGGGAAAACCCTAAAAAATAGACAGCCCTGAAATCCCAGACCCTGAACCCTGAACCCGAAAACCCCTTGAAAACCCTAG